AAATCATATTAACAAATTAAGTCTGTGCCATTTAAGAGAAATACATTGCAGCAAATTTGTAACATGCATAGTCATTGTTACTTCCCTGTCCTCGACAGTCCAGTCATTCTGCCATCAAACACTGGCAATTTAATCCTGCCTTTGTGACAATACAGAAAGGATATATGCCACTGTTTTAAGCAGTAGCCTTGCTTCCAACACAGAGATTTTCCAAATGATCTCATATTCTGGGGACAGCAATCAGCTTCCCCCGCTCAGCGGAAGCAGTCTTCAGAGGCAGGAGGCATGGAATTTTTTGTGTTACAAGACTTTTGAAGCCATGTGGCACTCTCCTGCCCTGCTAACAGCACAGGCAACTGTGTTTGTTTGTTTTTTTCCAAAAGCTGCTAATTGCTAGCTATGGCAAAATGGTGATAAATCACCCTGAATGAATAATCTAGTGAGCAAACAAAGCAGCAGAATCTGTTTAATGAAGCACTCTTTCACTTTTGGTACAGCCTGGCCACTTCATAACATCACCTCCCCAGTGACATGTTTTGCAGAGTGCTAATTAATGGCTGAGGTCTCAGCTCGGTGCTTGGTGCCACAATCTGGAGGATGTTGTAATCACTCAGTTGCACACACCGCTGCACGTGTGTGCTTGCACACGCAGGAGAGAGGAGGCAGTTCATTAACGCAGCAACAGCTGCCGGTGGCACCAGGAGAAATCCAGGATTGCTTTTTGCCCCAACCTGGCCTCAGCTGCTGCGTTGGTGCAGGATGGGAACGCTAGCGGAGCAGTTGGGTTGCAGATAGTACTGAGGATAGGGCTGGGGTGGGAAGAAGTGGAACAACATTAGAAAGACCCATTAGAGCATCTTAGACTGATCACTGCAGTCTATAAAAGAAGCTTCTTCAAAATGAGCTAGCAGCAGAGTTGAGATCAATACACATCTGTAAGTCATTGTAAGTCAGGAAGTCCCACATGTCTTACCCTTTCTCGATCCAATTTCTTTTTAACCTTCACGAGTCCCAGAACAGGATCAACTGAAAATTCATTGTCTCGATCCCCATTCACTATAGAAAAATGAATCTGGCCATTGGAAGGACTGTCCAGATCTTCTGCTATCAACTTTTTGGAAGGAAGAGTGAAAATTAGCAAAACAATTATTAAGCCATCCGTATACTACATTATTTGCTCAATATCCCAAAAGCAAGACTTCATATTCCATTAGACTAGTTACATCTGAACTCTGCGCCATCAAGACAATCAATTTTTGATTCCTCCCCTTGGACCTTTTGGAATTTTAGCCTTAAAACATGCACAATATTTTAATCCTAATATTCCATATAACGCTTTCTTTCTGGATCCACAAGTTCCACGATGACAGTATTGTGAGGTTTAGGTATGGCCCACTACATGCCAGACTGAATAGATACAAATACTACGTGACACAAATACTACGTATTACACTGAAAAGTTGAATTCTGCCTTTCCAATAAAACCCACTTGTTTCTGGCTGACTCATGAAATGCAAAGCCTCAAACATGCCATTAGCCTTTGACAGCATATTGGGGTTAAAAAGAAACAGTCAGTGCTACTGCTACTTTCTTTTTTGGGGAAAACTGGCAACAGCCTGGAAAGCAGGAGATGCAGAATATTGGCTAGAGAATGGTTTGGGTGATTCAAGATGCAGTAGTTATCATTATTAACCAGCGCAGCAGTACTTTAATAAAGGTCATGTGGCAGAGGGTTTCATCCCGCCTAAATGCCGCCCACGGCCTCACTCACCATTATCACCGAATCACCGATGGCAGCGTCCTCGCTGATGACCGCGCTGTAGACCACCTGGCTGAATTTCGGTGCGTTGTCATTAACGTCTGTCACGTTTACATTCACAGTTGTAACAGCGCTCAGGGCTGGAGTACCTCCATCTTTTGCTTCCACTACTAAGTAGAAATCCTTACACGATTCATAATCCAAAGCTTCAAAAATGGAAATCGCTCCTTTGAAGCAAGGGAGGGAATGTCAACAGCCAGCAAAAGACAAATAATGCTATGGACTAAGGGATTTGGCTGTAGTAAATAGTACAGTATGCTATTTATCACCATGGCACACATACAAAATATGTTGTTCTAACTGTAACACTGCCCAATCCAATAAAAATATTTGGTCAGATTTCTAATGCTGTTGTTTGATTAAAGAATTATGCCAATTGCACTTGGGTTGACTCTGCAGAAAGGGCCTTCACAAGGCATGAAGCAATGAATGGTTTCTCATGAAAATAACGTTTATTATACCAGTACTGTAGATGGTGAAGTGGAGGCCATATCCACCCACTTGCCTGGGCTGATGCACAGAGCCTGTGGGGGAACTGGACGCCGACTCTGGAAATCAGCCCGACAAGTCAACAGAAATTCACTCCCATGTAATTAACTTCTCATGAATTAAATACAAATGAATGGGGTATGAATACCTTTGAGAAATCAGTAGTCTGTCATTTATGTGATTAAACAGGGACTTCTCCACTCAACTAGGTTTATAAATTTTGGGTTCCCTCACTACGCAATGAAAATTAAGATTCTCTGTAACTTAACTCACTCTGTGCACCCAGACCCCCTCTAGGACAGAAATGCTTTTTATGCAACCCCTCCACCTGTTTCCCACACAACCATAACCTTAACAAGAAGGGAGGAGTGGATTGTGCACAGATTACTGGTGATGCCTTGAAGGAGGTAATACTGGGCACAGCAGGAAAGACTTAAAGCCAAATCCTTAACCTTGGCAAGCCAAATCCTTTCCAATATAGACCCATCATCAGCAGGGATGTATGGGGCTTAAAGGTCATTTAGTCCAACCGCTGCCCAACGCAGGTCAGCTGAACCTAATCATTCTTGAAGGTACTCATCTCTAATGTTCTTATAAACCTCCAGCATCAGTTTCCTAACCTTCTTAGGAAATCTATTTGAGTATTTAATAAGCATTACAGTGAGGAATTTCTTCCCATCATTTAACCGAAATAATGCAAATGCAATTTAAGCCCACCCACAACTTCTTTTCTCATGAGTGGGCTTGGAGAACAGTTTATTCCTCTCCTTTCCATAGATACTTTTTACAAGCTTGAATACTAACAGCATGACTTCTCTTTTCTAGCTTAAAAAGCCTCAATTCCTTTAGTCTTTCCTGGTAAGCCACATTTTATAGACCCCAGATCATTCCTCTTAATCTCATCTGGGCTCTCTCCAAATGAATCCTACCTTTCAGCATGACTTGCTGGAAGCAGGAGCCCTGAAGAGAAGCTTCCAAGTGGCTAGCAAAGAGTTCCCACTGATAAATGGTGTGAAGGGCATTATTTTTCAAGCCCTGATCAGGCATGCTACATCAGCACCTGGCTGTCTGGAAACTGAGCTCCTGCCTCTAAACCGATAATAATGGAGCTGTCACACATTAATGAATAATAGTTTTTTTTGGTTTTGTTTTTTTTTTTTTTTTCCTTCTCTGTGTGATTAAGCTTCATTATGGGTTTTTATTGATTTATCTCCTTGGCTTCATTGTCAAATGTGAAGTTAAGTATTGCTGTCTAGGTGTATTTATGTTTAAATTTTGTTAGCGCTAATCAACATTACGAAGATAACAGACAACACACAATTATCTTAAGTCCCTTACACGTAAGGCAGTGGCCTCCGCAGACTGGAAAGAGATTTTTGCACACAGTAATATAAGTGACACAATGCATCATTTTGAGATTTTCCAGGTTACTGGTTATTACAGCTGCACTCAAACAAGTGTTACCTTCAGCTTTCAAAACCAAGATTGTTTTGCTCTGAAGCTCTGGTGCCAGATTTGCACGGGTCATCCTGAATGTTATGAGAATAAGGGGATCCACTACAGGAAGCACAGAAGAATCATAGCTTACTGTCTGCTGACGGATTAAAACCTCAATAAGGATAAAGAATATATCCCATTAAGGAAATTCAAAGAAAATGAGCCATTTGGACCAAATAAGGCAGCTTTTCTTAGTATTTCTTGAAGAGAAGCAGCAGTATGTTTTTAAAATTTGTGATGTATAACAAAACCACCCCAATAAACCCAAACCATGGCTGAAGTCAACTGTCAGACAACACAAATAAGAAGCAACCTAAGTCAGTGAAGATATATACAGCTGTATAAATAGCAGTCACTGCCTGACATGTTGGGACTGCCAGCTACTTGGTCCTGATAGCACTGTCTGATGCGTGCTAAGGTCCAGAGTGTTGAGACTGTACTCAGCTGGTAAGCAGGTAAACATTGCAAGTGTTCGTAAGTGTAAGGGTTGTGCAGTTGGGCTAAAAGGTTGTCACATCTACGTTGACTTCAACAGACACGCTAATGGAGAAAAGTATTTTCCACTTGAGCTGCGGCAGCTGAGTGTGACCGTAATTTACATCACTCTGCAACCTAAAATTGGTTTTTAACTGTGCAACTAATTCCACATTGACAAGCTCCAACTCTCTGTCCTTGGAAATTTTTTTGTTCAAAAGCCTTCCCCAAAGCATTTGCATTTTTCTGATGCTCATACAAGTAAGAGCTGCTTTACAAACCTGTTTTTGAGTTAATCCTGAACTTCCCTTTCTCATTCCCTGATCTGATGAGATAGGCAATCTCAGCATTAGTTCCAATGTCTTGGCTTGTAGCAAAAACAGAGAGGACCTCAGTACCAGGTGAGGTGTCTTCAGGTACTGTAACAAGATAATCTCTTCTTTCAAACACAGGGGGGTTGTCATTAATGTCTAGCACTGTAATGGTAACGGTGGCAAATGAGGACAAGGTCAACACAATGCTCTGATCGGAGGCCTTTACACTGATGTTATAGGAAGACTGAAGCTCTCTATCAAGAGGATGCTCCAAAATAATGATTCCTGATGACCGATCAACTGAGAAGTAACCATCTGCGGAGTCTGCCAGAGAATAGGTAACTTTTCTGTTCACACCTGAAAGAGAAGCAAATATGAAAAATGATAAAGTGAAATAAAGAAAACAACAAACTCTTCCCATCTAATGGAAAGCCTAAGCAAGATCTGCTATCACACTGATAATTTCCAGTGGAGGTGGTGCACATGGAAGTAGGAGCACCTGTGGGTACAGAATTGAAGGCTTGGGAGATCAGGACATGCTCTTTTCACATGTCAAATCCCCATGGATAAGCTAAGTTCCTTCCCTCACCATGATACTTTTTTAAAAGATCACTTTGCAGAACTGCTGTGTAATGAAACTTGAAAGCACAATCCAGATATGGTCCTTGCCCAGAAAAGCTTACAATTGAATTAGATGAGACAGGCGGAATGCTGAAATTGGAAATGTCTCAGAGCACATCTTGGAGGAATAGAAATGTACATAAGGGAAAAATAAACCCATAAAAATACATCAAGTGGCACAGAATGTACTTGCTACCTGTGCTGCCTTGATTCCACTGTTGAGCAGCAAAATATTATCATCAGATGATACCTATTAGACAAAAGCTGCATCAAAGAACTCCTGCCAGAACATGGACATTTTAGAAAGGCAAGTCCCTCACTCCCCCGATTTGAGAGTGAAAATTGAATTGTACAAGAAGATATCCTGTGTTTTTCCAGTCCTGCCTGTATTTCCCAATACACAACATCTATCCACCTGGCTGCTGAATATGCAGATCTATGCTAAGGTTGTTGTCAGTAATAAGGCCTGAGGGGAAGGTACTGACTTGGTTGCTTGCTGCACTACAGTGGGACAGCCATTTCAAATCTAATTAAAAGCTAACACAGTTACAATCTAATTCAACCCCCTCGATGCTGGTTGATTTTGTGATTTGGTCCTGGGTGCTGCACATGGTAACTAAAACACAAAGATCCACTAAATGGAGAGTCTCTGTTTTTAACATCTCTCACTTGAGCATTTGCTGCCCTTTTTGTTGGAGAACAGACTTTACAAGCCTGACATTAATCAGATGAACAAGAGCTACCAATCCCTTCTAGGCATATTTTGTTAATTTAAAATTTGTGACAGTATTATTCTGCTTTCCAGCAGCAAAGCATTGTAGAAATGTCTGATCAAAAGCAGCACAAATCACATTTGTTTTCTGCTTGACATAGCAGGAGTAAAGCATCCACACAAGGGGGAGCTGGGAGACTCTTTCTTCAATCACACACACATAAAAGCCAGAGCAACTACAAAGTCCCAGAGCCTACTTGGAGAGCATTAGGAATTGCTATTTGGCCTCTTCAGGGAATAAAGTTTTTATGCAGTGCTTGAGACACCACAGTATATTTTAAATGTTCAAATGTCTTTAAAATAAGGAAAATTTTAAATGGCAATATTGCAATGAACCAGGTTGTTATTTTTTTTTTTATTTTTTTTTAAATCACAGCAGAACCTCTCTATTTACCATGGCATCTCAAATGTGAAAAATACAGAGGCTGTCCTTCAACAAAACAGGCAAGGCAGCCAAGGAGGTGACTGCTGTCCCACAGACAAGGAACCAAGCTCAGCCCATGAACTAGTCAGAGACTCTCATGTGTTGAAATACCTCGACCCTGAACACCCGACAGTCTGCTGGAGACCATGCTTGCCTCCTCACTTAGCCTCTTCTACATGCATCCAAATGCTCCGTCAGCTGACCATCAGTCAAACTGGCAAAAGTAAAAACGGAGTAAAACCCTCTGGAAAGTGGAAGGTTTTGAGGGTCTGAATGGCTGGAGGTGTGTCTACATTTCTAACAGGGGAGGATCTCCTTCTGCTAGAAATCCTCCCCAAACTTCCACTTACAAAAAGGAAGAGACCTGACCAGAACAATTAATGAGCTAGTAATTAGACCTGATCCCTGGGGATGCTGGAAAAGGGGATTTTTGCCTGAATCAGAGCATGCAGTTGAACACCCAACCTACACATGAGTTTTAAATGTAAAGCTATTTAGTATTCTGTACTGGACTCTCTTGATGTCTACCAGTTTCTACACAGAATTAAATACTTCTCTGAAGCAAGGACCTTAACACACACTTTCCACGCATATGTGTCCGTGCTTGCAGGAGAGCCTGGTTTGGGTTTTTCTCTGGCACAAAACTCCTATTTGATACTACAGCACACCTGGGCACAAGACAGAAGATTCAGATACCAAGGTCTTTAAAGGCATCAATAGCTAGAAAGGACATGGCCTACCCATGCCTTATGTCTTCAAACACCCCAAAACTTTAGCAAGAATATCTCGCAAGAGGGAGTGGGGAGAGACAGAATTTGGTGCATGTGACACCACACAGGGTGAGTTTACATACAGGAAGTAGTAACTCTGGTGACTGCAGTCTGATTGATATATAATCCGACCACTCTCCTTGTATTCTTCTTCCTAAAGGTGGTGTCCATAAATTAACAAAATATGAGTAATGTTTTTAGATAAGTGATTGCTAATGATCCTACAACGGACACAGTTCAGATACAGATTATGGTGTTCTGGTTGCTAACTCTAATATAAGGGATTTTTAGGTAGAAATCAAGAGAGTTACTTCTTGAAGGCAAGTGCTTTTATTTTTCTTTCCTGGAAAACAAGAGAGGAATACAGAAGTTCCAGGGATGTGGGTTATCTTGTACCAGTCTGGTTTGATGACAAAAGCACTCTTATTTTTCCCATGGACCTGGAGGAAAAGCTCTTAGAGGTGAAAATGCCATTTTATGCAAAGAGAGGTAGAAGATCAGGGCAGAGGACCTGAGCTGGGACACTCACAGATACCAACCCTCGGTGGCTTCAGCCTGAATGCAGAGGCAGAATAGAAGGAGAAATACAGAGGCATATCTCATCTGCCTGCTGACCTTCTCCTACAGTGTTTTGTGGGGCTGGAGGTTAACACTTGTTTCTTGGGAGGAAAATGAATTAAATGAAAAGCTGTGGCAGAAACAGCACTTTGAAGAAAGTGTTGTGTTGCATCAATAGCTGTTTCCACTCAGCTTCCTGACCCAAGGCTGGAAACAAAATAGGCAGGAGGCAAAGGTGAGGTAGGAAATAATTTCTACTGGAATCCAAAATGCTTTAGTCCAGGGGGCTGCCATCTGCTGAGACAGAAGCATCCACCATTGTGTGTCAATGGCATCCCTGCTGAGGCGGCGATGGTAGATTCTGCTGTGACTATAAAGGAGGTGTTTTCTGTGGAAAGGAAACGACTGCTCCAACACCATGGTTCCTGCACTGGTAAAGAGAGCAATCCTCCCACACTGCTTGCCCACAGCTGTTGGGGGATTAACGTTTGCAAACTGCGTTGTGTCTATTCACTTACTCAGTTAAACTTCTCAGATTTCTAAGGTGCCAATCACGAACATAAGCTATTTGAACATGGAAAGCTTTGAAGGAATTACTATTACTCTAAGAGGATTGCAGTACATTTTTTAAATAAAGGAATAAGCAAGCACATTTTCTATTTAGACTTGTATTAGCATATGATAGAATATTGCCCTTTGCCAAATCTCTGGTGTGAAGAGCTTGTACAACATACAGCTGTCTAGTACCTCAAATGACATCCTTCAAACAGGTTTTTTTTCCTTGTTTTCTTCTGTACTAAAACAAAGGGGCATGCACTGAATTTCACAAAATGACATCTTCTATGTCATTACTAAATAGAACCAGGGAGATAAAATAACCTTTCTTTATCATTCAGGAGTATCAAATTCCTCCTTGTCTAACTCATAGAATCGTAGAATCATTTAGGTTGGAAAGGACCTTTAAGATCATTGAGTCCAACCATTAACCTAGCACTGCATTGTCCACCACTAAACCATGTCCCTAAGTGCCACATCTACACGTCTTTCAAATACCTCCAGGGATGGTGGCTCAACCACTTCCCCCGGGAGCCTGTTCCAGTGATTGACAACCCTTTCGGTAAAGACATTTTTCCTAATATCCAATCTAAACCTCCTTTGGAACACCTGAGGCCATTTCCTCTTGTCTTATCACTTGTTACTTGGGAGAAAAGACCAACACCCCCCTGGCTACAACCTCCCTTCAGGTAGTTGTAGAGAGTGAGAATGTCTCCCCTCAGCCTCCTTTTCTCCAGACCAAACACCCCCAGTTCCCTCAGCCGCTCCTCATCAGACTTGTTCTCTAGACCCTTCACCAGCTTCGTTGCCCTTCTCTGGACATGCTCCAGCACCTCAGTGTTCTTGTAGTGATGGGCCCAGAACCGAACACAGTATTTGAGGTGCAGCCCAATTGAAAATGGTGAAGTTACAACATGGTTTGATCCAGACCAACACAAATGAAAAGGCTGAGCATTAACACAACAGGCACAATGCCCATATGACACCGAGTTCCTGCAGTCGGCGTTACCTGCCAACTGCATCACACACAAACTAAAATTTACACGTATTAAAGACCATACATAGTGTGCTTCTCCTTTCTGTTTTCATCTGTCACCCTGAGCTCATTATTTAATGTGTTTCCCCAAGTGCAGCTAGCCCACTCGTTTTTGTTTAGCTCTGGAAAAATGATGCCTAACTTTGTCATCTGCTCATTTTCATTTTGAAAACCTACAGAAAGAAAAATAATGGCAAGAATTAAAAACAAACAAACAAGAAGTAAAACAGAAAGCTGTCCAGAGAGCTGTAAATAAAGCTATTTATCAATTTAGCAGTGATTTGCAACCATGGTATCTGATTATCGTGCTTCCTCTTGCCTCTGTCTTTCATGGTGTGGCTATTAACACTGGCGTGTACCTATGGCCTTTTCTGATTACCTAAATGTTAACCACAACACCAATTACTGGAAGTTAAAAGTCCACAACTTCATTAACAGCAAACAAGACAAAAGACGAATACTAAACCAGATTTTATGATACTCTACTCCATCATTTTGAGATGAAAGAGAAAAATATTGCCAGAAGTACCTTGCTGAACTGTAGA